CCATTTTCGCGATCGGGGCTTTTTTCCGGAAAAGACTACTGGGCTGTCTACACTGGCCCTTTTCTGGAACAGTGTTCCGGAATAAGGACTTATGCCCGAGCGGGAGCAGAATAGTTTTTCCGGAATAGCAGCTGATTTTGTACAGTAGAGCATCGTTGCTTTTCCGGAAATTCAAGGGCCAGTGTAGACAGCTCGCAGCTTATTCCGGAAAAGCGGCTGATTTTCCGGAATAAGTGGCCCAGTGTAGACACAGCCTAGGAGCTTAGGGTTGCCAGATGGTTTCTACAAAAACACTTGACATGCCATCACAGTCTACATTACATCTTATGTAGAAAATACTGGACATTTCTATTGTCTCATTTATTTTTTCTCAATTTGTTTCCCGAACAGAAAACTCAAATACTGGACTGTCCGGTTCAAAACTGGACACCTGGCAACTCTGCTTAGGTAGGTCCTACCTCAGATCCTACCCTTGCACCTTTGCCCCATCATGGGGGCGTGTTAGCCCTGTCTAATCCAATGATCCACGCATGCGATTGCACTCCCCAATAATCAAATACCCCGTCTGATGTTACCACCTTACTCACAACTGACACTCCAAGCTAGTGACCAGTTCTCTGAGCAGCACTTGTTGCACCCCGTCTGTGAACAAGGTGGAGGAAGAGAGCCCCAAGCACTCTGAGCACCCTCTAGTCACCTTTCCCTGTTTTCCTGCCTTCTCCATGAGCAAGGAAGAAGACTAATCAAAATGGAGGCTCACCTGTTGTTCTAAACAAAACGAAATGGCGAACCCACAAACAACTTAAACCATTTCAACTTAACTGATTACTAACAAGGTCTAACATTAATAAAGAAGCCCATGTTAACACCCTCAACCCAATCTGCTTTGCTAGCCTGCTGGGAGACCTTAGACAATCCACATCCCTAGTCTGTGCCTTAGTTTCCCCATCTGTAAAATGGGTATGATACTGAACTTCCTTGTCAAGTACTTTGAGATGCACTGATGAGAAGTGCTACGTAAGAGCTAGGGACTGCTACCGCTAGGCCTCCTTCTGAAGGGGTCACAGCTGTCCTTCAGCTGTCCTCCTACTCAAATCAACCTGGTTTCACGAAGCATACCTGTGCCGATCAAGAAAGGCTTCTTTGTCGGCGCGGCGCGTCCAGACTGCCCCGATCTGCCGACAAACAGCTGATCGGCAGAGCGGGGCAGCCATTTAAATTTAAATGAAGCCGCGATTATTTTAATCGCGGCTTCATTTCCCTCTGCCGATCTGGCTAATCTACATGCCTCCGTCGACGGAGGCATGTAGTTTAGACGTGCCCTTAGTGACCTTAAAGATCACTTTGTTCAGGGCTGGCATCAAAACAAGCACATTCAGAAACTTGTTTCCCTGATAGCTCCATCCTTGGATCCCCAGGCTACCTGGCTCTCTAAACAGGACTCCTCCTTCCTCTCCCTTTCTCATTAAGCTCAACCGATCAGCACCACTCTAGGCACGACTTGGCTGCCAGAGAGAGACAAGGAGACAGACAGACAGACAGACAGAAAGAAAGAAAGAAAGAAAGTGTCTTTGAGTAACCCCACAAGTACAGTACGAGAACTGAGAGACCTGACCCCAGCAGTGTCCCCCTGGCTATGGCAGTGCAGCAGCTAGCAAGGAATGGCAGTGAAACAGCAGAAATGGGATAAAAGGGGAGAGCATAAGCTAAACGGGCGATTAAACAGAGCCTGAAGCTGACACGGTGCTGTCAGGAAGAATCAGGCCCACTGGGTGAATTTCCCCAAGGTTCTTTGTTGCCGTGCTCATCAGTTACAGTCCTGTCCACTTTAAGGCCACTTTTAACTCTGAGCGGGATGTAAAAAGGCCTTGGTGTAGATGAGAAATGGGCCTGATGCTTTGATCCTCCCACTAAAGGATTCTGGGCCTGAACCAAGCTCATTGACTTCAAGTGAGCTTTGCCGTAGGGTCTAAGTGCAAGGGCATGGCCCGGCTGTGATAGCAACAGGGCTCCTGCTGGCAAGCAACAGTCAGCGCTCAGCTCTGCTTGCCCTATATAAAAAGCTTTGGCAAATATATATAGATATGCACCTGAAGAGCTATTAAACTACAGTCTTTTTTTTTCTTTTTTTGGTAATCACAATTCTGCAACCTCTTTGGTTTTAGATTTAAAAAAAATGTTGGAGCTGAAAAACTATTGTTTTATAGAAAAAGGTTATTTTCTTGTTTTAAAAAAAATCAATCATCTTTTTGCATTCTACATATAAAACTTGTGCTGTAGGAAAAAATGGTTATCTTGCTTTGGAGAAAAACGAGCATGGTATGGCAGGTTGTAAGCCCAAGCACCCTCTGCTAGTTACATGATGCTGCAATTTTGCGGACCCTGGAGGCAGAAAAGAGAAAATAAATAAATCTTAATTTGTTTGCTTAAGTTACAGCGGAACAGCAATAGTCATCAAGAAAATCTGTTGCTAAGTACTTACTATTAGAGTACTGAAATAATCTTGTAAGTGTAATAAATTCCTCATGTCGCATTTTAAATTGTGACCCTTAAGGGAGGGGAGCCATCTTTTTGTTTTGAATTTGTACTGCACCGAGCACCCAGTTCATGAGTGAGTGCTTCCGGTGCTACTATAATACAAATAATTAATAATAATGATTAGTGCTTTTTATCCATATCTCAAAGCACTCTACAGTCATAAATGATTATATCATCTCATTCTCCCATTTTATAGGTGATGTATCTATGATATGAAATAGGTTGAAAATTATGAAACTATTGAGTATATTAGAATAATATCATTGATTAGAATAGTATTGTGCAGGAGCGGTGCTTCAAAGGGGCAGCACAACAGGGAGCTGGGGATCAGCTGGGCCCTCCAGCTGATCCCCGGTAGGAAAGTTAAAGACTAGTTGACTAAATAATATGCAAATGCTTGTCAAAGTGTCAGTCAACTAGTGGACTAGTCGATCTCCCCCTCCCCACTTTGCTGCCTCTTCAGATATAGATAGCAAAAGGGGGGAAGGGGTACTTCAAAATGGCAGTACTGCACAGCTGTGTGGCACTGCCGCTTTGAAACTCTAAGGCGACATTTCAAGGGGGCAGAGGTGGAGCCCGCGGTCAGCTGGGGACTCCCAGCTTATCCTGAGCTCCCCGCAGCAGCTGAACCTGGGGTCAGCTGTGGACTCCCCAGCTGACCCCAGGTTCTGGGGAAATGCCATGCAGAGCCCAGGATCAACTGGGCAGTCCCCAGCTGACCCTGGTCTCCAGGGCAGCTGCCCCTTTGAAATGCCTTATTTTAAAGAACCTTGGGCAGTCTGGCTATGGACAGCTGGGACCGTCCGGGGATCGCGCAGACCTAGATGGCTACTGTTTGGATTTTGCTGCAGGGTGCGTAGAGCTAATACAGGGCCCTAGAACTGGTGATTCAAATACAGCCTCATTAGCCAAGGCTCCCACCCGAAGCCAAGTCGCTCTGTGGGAGGAATGACTCTCCAGCTCCACTAAGTTTTCTGTGGCAGACCCAAACAATGCAGCCTCCCCGGGGAGGGCTGTGGGACTCTCTGATGAGTGGCGATGGGGGAACATTCCCCATTCACCAGCACTGCACACACACAGCGCACAAACCCTGCCGCCCTCATTCCAAAAAGACTTCTCTTTGATTGGGTGGTAGTGTGGCCCAAGTGAGGACCCTGGAGCTGGGGGCAGCGGGGTGTCAGGACGGGGAGTCACCAGGTGCAGAAAAGTGGCCTGAAATAGGAGCACATATGGACGGATTTGGGACCTAAATCCGGATCAGTAAATCTGTTTATACCATTCCGTCCCGCTCAGCGATTTACAGGGAGCAGCCTCCCTTCACCAGATCCCCATCCACAAACCACTTGCGTTTGTAGCAGCATCCACTAGAGGGGAGAGCTAGATTTTGGCTTCTCGAGTGGGGGAGGGGGCTGTCTGTATTTAGAGCACGTCAACCCTGACCCAGACCTGGCCCTGACCAGCAGGCAGGAGGAAGAATCAAATACGCGGCGGTTCCACCAGCCGCAGTTCCTATTGGGATATTCAGGGAAGGAAGCTCTGTCAGCCGGGAGCCCCCTTCTTGCTGGATTCCCTTGCCACAGAGGGGGCAGCCTTTTTTCTTATGCACTGACCTGAGTGCGGGGCTCAGAATTTCCCAGCAAATGGCAGGAGCTGGGCAGCAGGTTTCCACCAAGGCAACTGCTGCCTTTGCCATTGCCACTCAAGGCGATGAAGACATTGGAGGTGGATGCTTCTGGGAGCATGAAGCCGGTCACAGGTTTCTGGCACGTGCTGGCTTTGTCTTTCGGCTGGCCACAGGTGCAGCACACCACAGGGCGGGGGCGTGAAATGGGCTCCCTGGCTCCGCAGGGGCGTGGAGTGGGCTCTCTGGCATCACACGTGCCGCCACAGGGGCCCTGGAGGGGTGGAAAGAGAAACAAGGGGCTTTTGGTACCAGATAGCCAGATAGCCGACGTCTCCTCTCAAGCGACACCCTGCTGGAGCGCCAGGGCTGCAGAGGGTCCCTGAGAGGAGAATCTGGCCAAGATCCTCCTCGCCCTGGCAGAGCTGGATTGTACCAGCCCAACCCCAGCCTAGTCTCGCAATCGGTGCTTTGGGGCGTCAGACCCCAGCTGATGTTCTGCCATTGCAGGATGCTCGGAAACCGCGGAGCCCTCAGTAATGGGTGCATTAGAAAATCCCAACTCGACCAGAATGTGCCCTGGTGGGTCCTCTACCTGGGGGCGGGACCAATGTTCCCTCTCATCTTTTCCATCCATGTGAGGAATAACTTTTTTACATGCTCCGAGGTATGTGCGAAAGTGCACCACTAGTCGAAAGAAAAACCTAGCTGTGGGCACTCGGCCAATCGGCTGGACAGGACTGGAAACTCTCCTGAGCGGTTGCAGAAGCGCCCAGCTCACAGGAAACCCTGGTGTGACCTTCCTGTCACCCCCGTGTCACTGAAAGTGGGAGCACGGGGTCCTGACCAGGTAGTGGTCAGTGTAGGATACATGACAGAGCATCTCTGAAATGGATAACTGATAGTTACTGTAGAACTGGCTGCCAGTATTGCCTTTGGTGGCAGACCTTCCTGTGGGGATGGTCCCACCCCCCTGCCCTGTAGCTGGGGAAGCAAAGCAGCTCTCCTGATTATTAGCGTTGGTTGGTTCCTAGCCAGATCAGTGACAGGGCTTCTCTCCCATCACCTCCACTCCCTACTCACCTGGGTCTGATCCCAGTGGTGTGCATCTATCAGCTGGAGAGGACTTGCCTTTGGCTGCAAGAGACCTTGGGCAGAACTGGCTTACTTACTCGAGCTCCCTACCCGCTAGATCCCGCGGTCTGTCCCTGACAGCACGACACTTACTTGGAGGGAGGTGCTGCCTTCGCCATCCTCATACGCATCCTCATCCTCATCCTCATCAGTATCATGGATTGTCCTACGCACCAGCTTCCTCATGGCCACCTCCTGGGCGGGAGGGAGGGAGGGCAAAGTCAGCTAAGGCTCAGATGACAGCCCAGCAACTCCTGGCCTGCAGATGGCAAGAGCACACGAATTGGACCCCACCCCACCAGCCTCCACCCCTTGCCCACCCCTCTCTTGCACCCGGCTGGAGCATGCAGCCCCTCAGCAGACCTGGATTGCCCAGCGGACCAGGGTGGGAGCCTCACCTCTCCGTTGGAGTTGATCAGGGCGGTGCGCAGGCTGTCTCCAGAGCCCCAGGAGCTTTGCCCCTCCCACACCATGTCGGTGGGAGGGCTGTGGGTGGGGCCGGCGGCCCAGATCTAAAGAGGAAACACAGAGATCGGTAGCACCTCCCACTGGCAGAGCAACCTACCCCTCACTGCCCACTGGGGCGCTGCACTTGTCCAGCGGAGGTGGCTTAGAGCTCAAGATGTTAAAACCCGGCATCACTTCTGCCCCAAATGGAAGGAACCCCAGAAGAGCCACTGCTGCTATGGGGCAGGGTTGGCCTTTCCTGCCTGTGGAGATCAGCTCGCCCCCCATCTGGGCTTTGTATATCAGCAAGATCAGGAGCTGCGATCTCCCCCTGTCGCCAAGGGGGGACCCTATGGCCATTCTAAGTAGGGGCCTGGAGAGAAGGTGTGTGGGACCCAGGAAGAGAAATGTAAATAGGGATGTGCACGGGTGGCGGGGTGAAGGCCCAGCTGGGGAAGGAAAGCTGAAGCTCCGCCCCTTCTCCCTGAAGCCACCCCCCTTTCCCCCCAAGACAATGCTCCCAGCCATGCCCTGCCCAATCCCAGGTGTTCTGCTGGGCAGGGACCCACCTTCTCTGGCCACCAGGCTGCTGCTTGGCACAGCTCCAGGCCATCCCAGGAGGCAGGGCAGCATGGGCAGTTTTGGGAAGGCAATGCCATCCCTTGCCGACGTTACCCACCGCCCATGGAGATGTGAAAAGATAACTGGTAGACACCACCCTCAATAATGCCTGGCCAAAGCAGCCCTGCCTGCGGTGGGAGGGGCCGCTCCAGCTCACCCCATTTCCCCCTCCCCCCGGGTAAACATCCCAGTTCATCAATTAAATGGGATTTTACATCCCTAGTGAAGAACAGACCAGTTCCCCAGGGCATTCACCCTTCCCTAGCCTGCAAGAGCCATCTGCCACTCACCGTGACCTCCTGGCTGGCCTTCAGGGTGAACCTGCATGGGAAGCGGTAGAAGATGGGGGGGCTGTTTCCATTCTGACGCTTGATCTGCCAGTTCCCCAGCTCTTGGTCCTGCGACACAGAAGGCAGCAGCCGTGAGAAACCAGCCCTCAAGGTTGTTCCAGTTTTGTCTTCTCTTGGCTACAAGTCTTGAGGTCAAGGGGCCCTGCCACAGACCCGTTCACCTTCTACAAGTCACTTCACCTCCCCTGGTCTTAGGTTCCCCATCTTGTGCTTGTAGCCCTTTCCCCACTCTTTGTCTGTCTTCTGTACAGACACAATGATTTTAGGGACAGGGACCATCTCCCACTCTGGGCAGGTTCAGCTGCCAGTACACTGTGGTCTTGACATTAGAGCCCCAAAGCAGTTTGTAGGCAGCATAACCTAGTGGACACAGTACTGGACTAGGACTTGGGAGGTTCTGGGTTTTATTCCTAGCTCTGACACTAGCCTGCTGGGAGACCTTAGACAATCCACATCCCTAGTCTGTGCCTTAGTTTCCCCATCTGTAAAATGGGTATGATACTGAACTTCCTTGTCAAGTACTTTGAGATGCACTGATGAGAAGTGCTACGTAAGAGCTAGGGACTGCTACCGCTAGGCCTCCTTCTGAAGGGGTCACAGCTGTCCTCCTACTCAATTCACTTAGGCTATGTCTACACTCGTGGCTTCTTGCGTGAGTAATTTGCAAATGAGGCTAAGCGTGGAATATCGCCGAGCCTCATTTGCATACCTAATGAGCCACCATTTTTTCAGAAGAGGCTCTTGCACAAGAAGGAACATCTACGCTGCCCCTTCTTGCACAAGAAAAACCCTCTTGCGCAATGCCGTTCTTCCTGAAAAGTAATAGGTGACCTTAGAACAGCAGGGGAAAGCAGGGAGGCAACGTACTATTGGCCCAATACAAAATTCAGTCAAACAGATCCATAGGATCGCCAGGCATCGACATTGCTCTGGGGCCAGATGAAAATGAGCCTAAATCCACTGATTTGAATTGCATGGGGATGGTTTACCTTAGCTGTGGATCTATCCCATCAATTCCTATACAGCAGTACTTCTCAACCTTTTTTTATAATGCACTCCTTTAAAAAATAATTAAAAGTATCCCCAGTACCTACAGTTTTCAGGAACACAAATTTTTTTCTACTGTTGCAACACATTTGTTAATCAAATTAATTGTAGCTGTATGGGAGATGAAATTTTTGGGTGTACAAAGGACAAAAATAATAAAATGCTGTAAAACTTAAAACCAAAATTCATTTTCTCCTAATTTCAGTTGTGTTGACATACAGCCCCCCGCCCCAGACTTCTCTCAAGTACCCCTCTGGGTACTCAAAACACTGCTATAGAGCAACACTGATTTACAGGAATTGACTAAGTCTCCTCTAAAAATGGGAGCCTCTTATATCTGCACAGTGGGTTTAGGGCAGACCCAAGGGGAAGGACATTCCAAGAGCAACACGGTTTCCCTTCCAGCCATGGACCCATCCTGACCGTGCTCATGCACGACCAGCATCTCCACCAGGAAATTTACCTCTTTGGACTTGTTCTTGAGACGGACAAATCTCCCTTCCACATCAACCTCTTCCACGGCCACAGGGCCACGGGTCCTGACATGGGGGAAGAAGCTTGTCCGGGGCTCCCCGCACTCTCGCTTCCTCTTCTTGGAGGGTCCCTCATGGCTCTCGGAACTTCTCTCGCAGGAGCTCTGCCATGGAGGGTACCTCAGCCTGGGGAGAGAGCAAGAGGGGGTGAGTGCAGGCTGGACTCAGGGCCTGGATCCTCTAGGCCAGAGGTGGGCAGTCACTTCTCATTTTGCTGGGGGACCACAATGAATTTTGGTACTGGTCTCAATCCAGCTCTACCTCTCCCCCCCCAGAAGAGGCGGGGCTTGGGGCGGAAGGGGCGGGGTTGGGGACTAGCCTCTCCCCAGGGTTGCCTGGGGCCAGAGGCTTTGAGGTAATAACAGAGCAAAGGGCTTGTGGCTCCCGGCCCCGCTGCTACTGACGCTATGTAAAAGGCTCGTGGCTCTGGCCCCTGGTGGGGTAGCGCCATGACCAGGAGCCTGGAACCATTTAGAGAGGATCCTGCTGCCTGAGCCACTGCCTGGAAATTTGGTGGCTCGGGCAGCAGGATATAAATAGAAAGCGGCCAGATGTGGCCCGTGGACTGGATCAAAGTGGTAGGCGGGTTGGATCTGGCCCCTGGGCCACATCTTGCCCAGCTCTGCTCTATTTGCTGGCCAATCAAGGCCTGGTTAGGCGCAGAGGGGACTCAATTTCATGGCTCATTGATGACCTGTGGGCAGAGGCCACTCTCCTTGGAGGACACGTCTCCATCACAACATCGCATCCCCAGCTTCTTCCCACGCTCTCAGCAAAGTTGAACAGGCTGTGGTGGCTGAGGGCGGACTCCCCGCAGGGAGCTGGCGTCCCATTAGCAGGGCAGGAAGCGCAACCCGTCCAAATGCTGCCTGTACCCCTGAGAGGGAATTCAGCCTCCAGGGCCGTCAGCTCCACACACCTCTGGGGGCTTACGACCATCACTGACTGGAGCGGCGGGCACCAACCAGCCGCCGGCACCCCTGTGGGGCTATAAGCAGCTGCCCAAGGGCCTGTCTCTACACCTGGTCAGACTAGCCAACCACATCCTGCTCCAAGCCACCAGCCTAGTTGCCCATTTCAGCTTCCAGACCTGCCCTCTTCCTTTGCCTACACCCTAAATCCCGTCTGGAGCCGGGCTCTGCAGAAACACACTCCGGAAAACAGGAGGCTCTGATGGCGGTGAGCAGCCAGGGACGGGAGAGACGGGTGTTGGGACTAGCTGCTGTCTCTAACAGGCTGGGCCAAAGGGGCAGGTGGGCCCAAGTGAGCAGCCTGGGTCCAAATCCCACCCCAGTCGGTCCATTGCTGCAGCACCCACCCCCTTCACATTTGGGTCAGATCAGCCCTGTGTTCCCAGCCCCCAAATCAGGGGGGTCCTTTCCTGGCTCTGCCCCCATTGGCACATGCTCCTGCCCACCAGGTCCCTCCCTCGGCCACATCCCCAGCAGGCTCCTCTCTCAGCCCATGAAGGAGCCTGTTTCTGCACCTACTTCTCATCCTCCCTGTCCAGGATCCTGCGGTAGGCCTGGATCTCCATTTCCAGGGCCTGTATGATGTCCTTCAGCTCCTGATTCTTGTCTCGCATGTCCGCTATCTCCCGCTTCTTGTCGGCCAGCGTGTTCTCCAGTTCCCGCAGCTTTGACTCCATGGCAGCCATCTGGGAGCAGAGGGGACACACCAGAGGAAGGGGGTGAGGCAGAGCACAAGCAGCAGAGGGTGCCCCTGGCTACCAGGGCTATGGGCACCCTAGGCATAGACACGGTGCCTTCCCTTGGGGTGAATCTCCAGGGCCACTGAGCCATTACGCAGCTTGCCCTGGGCTGTTACTAGACCTGGTCTGTGGTGGCCTTTCGCTTCAGTGGGTCCATGAGGACCTGTGGTCGTAAGCTTGTCTGGGGTTGGCCTGGTGCCTGCCTGGCAAGGTCCTGCCAGCGTGTGGCCCTTAGACAGACGTCAAGCTGCAGCTCGAGTAGAGGTGGACAAGAGGCCCCTATGGAACCGGGAGCAGCCTAGAGCCTTCGGGGTGGGATCGGAGCTGGACAGTCAGGGTCAGCTCCTCCGCTGACATGAACAGCCCTTGACACAACAGATCCCCACAGAGAACTGAGCCCTGCAGGGTCTCCCACCCTTGGATGGTACAAGGGATGTGAATATTTAACCGGGTAAACAGTTAACCAAGAAGCCTCCTTTTAGTGGTTAATGTTCATTGTTACACACGGGCTTCTGCCTGCTTTCTGCCCCATGCTGCTGCCTCGGATTCTGAAGTAGCAGCGCAGCCTGGCACCTGGCTCTCCGGGAGTGGTGCACACCAGCTCCCAGGGAGCCAAGCACATCAGCTCCCAGGGAGCCGGCTGCAGGTGCGTGTAGCTGCTGAAAAACTCAGCGGTTACACTTGCCCACAATTACCCACATTCTAATATCACTAGATGCTACCAGACCCAGAATCAGTGCTCTGGGCCTGGTCCCTCTCTAGACAGGCTGTCGATGCGGATCCTCGACTGCTGCAGTTCCTCATGGGCAGCCCCCACCATGTTGTTTTTCCTCTCCGCCTACTGCTTAGCATTCTCCAGCTACAGCCCTAGGGCCAGGCAGGTGATGAAGAGGGACAGCGTCTACGCACGCCCCAGTTGGGGGAGCCAATGGCCCAGGGAGAGGCTAGTCCCGGGTCCCCATGAGGGTTAGCTTTTCCTAGCCCCTCGCAGGAGACAGTGGCAGCCGCTAGCTACAGAGGAGGCTGCTTCTCTGCATTTCACAGGTGGGACAAGCAGGGCCCATGGAGAGGGAAGAGCCCCCTCCCCTTCCCACACACACTTTCAGTGCCCTGCTTTAGTGGCAGCTCAGCTTGACTGGTTGATTTCACACAGAGGCAGCTGTCAGCCTCCAGGGTGGGACCTCACTCTCCCAGCAGGGAACTGGGATGAGCCAGGCTTAAAAGGGAATGTCTCCGGGAGGAATGTACCTGCCCCTGGGGGTGGAGGCTCAGGGCTTTTCTACACTTGAACTGCTCCAGCAGCACAGCTGAGCGAACAATTCCTCTGTCAACCTGCTGCTGTCTCTAAGGGGGCTTTGTGCGGTGGAGCTAAGCTGCCCCGAGGTGCGGAGTTTCCCCATTTCCCCGGAAGTGGGGGCAGGGGTTGTGAATGGAGCTAAATGGATCCCCTGTCACTGGCAGGGCCCCTCGCCACAGGTTCTCTGTTGCTGTGGACACTGGCCTGACCCGCCCCTGCAATGGTGAGGGGGTGACAAGTGTACAAGGCTGCACCAAGGGTCTGTAGCGGGGGAAAGAGGGCGTTGCTCCAAGGGAGTGCTCACATAAGAACATAACATAAGAATGGCCGTACTGGGTCAGCCCAAAGGTCCATCTAGCCCAGTATCCTGTCTACCGACAGTGGCCAGCACCAGGTGCCCCAGAGAGGGTGGACCGAAGACAATGATCAAGAGATTTGTCTCCTGCCATCCTTCTCCAGCCTCTGACAAACAGAGGCCAAGGACACCATTTTATCCCCTGGCTAATAGCCTTTTATGGACCTAACCTCCATGAAATCATCTAGCTTCTCTTTAATCTCTATTATAGTCCTAGCCTTCACAGCCTCCTCTGGCAAGGAGTTCCACAGGTTGACTACACGCGGTGTGAAGAAGAACTTTCTTTTATTAGTTTTAAACCTGTTACCCATTAATTTCATTTGGTGGTTAGGGGTCCCCTGCCCATCACCCTCCTGCCTGAAGGGTACTGCCTAGCTCAGACCTAGCTGGGACTATGCACTGCCCAGAGCTGCGTGCAACTCGGAAGCAAAGGGGTGTTCTCGGCAGGCGTGGCAGGACATGTCTGGGGAATGCCATCATCTCTGGCACTGCAGAGGGGCAGGCGTCAGGGCCTGCTGCTCACCCTGGACACTTGCGCCCTCAGCTCCCGGTTTTCATTCTCCAGGTTCCTCTTCAGCCCCAGGGCGGTGGAGAGTTGAGCTTCCTTTGAGTTGAGCTTGGTCTCCAGGTCTTTGGCGCGCCTCTGGGCGGCCCGCGCTCCGGTGATCAAAGTAAACCTGCGCCCTCAATCCCAAACTTTCTCAGATGGAGCAATATTTTAATCAAACAATTTTTGTCACCCCACTGGATATTACAGGCAAGTTGCAGCTCTTCATACAGAGACTGAATTCCCTTCTCAGCTGGGGACCTATCTCCCCATTCAAAGCCTTTGTCTCATCTGGGTAGTGGCCTCCCACCTCCGGTGATCAAAGTAAACCTGCGCCCTCAATCCCAAACTTTCTCAGATGGAGCAATATTTTAATCAAACAATTTTTGTCACCCCACTGGATATTACAGGCAAGTTGCAGCTCTTCATACAGAGACTGAATTCCCTTCTCAGCTGGGGACCTATCTCCCCATTCAAAGCCTTTGTCTCATCTGGGTAGTGGCCTCCCACAGAGCCGGCAGGGCATCGACAACCTCTACACTCAGAGGTGACATCATCTTTGTTGACATCATCACAGGTGCCAACTTGGTGGATGCTCTGGGGCTGAAGCACCCACTAGGGAAAATTTGCAGGTGCTTGGCACCCACCACAGTGAAGCTCTGCCTGCTTCCCAGCGCCTCCTGTTCACTGGCGATTCGGTGACCACCCTTACCCACTAGCACTTCCAGCCCATGTAGGTTGCCAGGTGGGGGCGACTCCTGCTGCCCTCCTGCCAGAACCTCACCCCAGTAATACTACAGGCCACCCTTGGGTCTGCAGGCTTCCATCGCCATCCATAGGAGCTCCCCCAAAGCATGGGGCCTGAGGCGGCCAACCCAAACCATCCTGTGGACGGGACTTTTCTGGCTGGAAGGGAAGTCAGTGCTTATGGTCTTCATTGTAGGAGAGGGAGGAGAAAGACGCCGTTCGGTGATGTCACCGTCCCTTATTTTACACTCTCGCTTCCTGCTCCTGGAAAGGCACTGGCCTATGCATTTCCTGATGTACCTTACTGAGTCACCGAGATAAGCAATCCCCACTGTGTGGTGCTGATCCAGCTCTCTCTAATTACATCGTACATCTCATATTTACTACAGCTCGTGATAATTGTTTAAAGTCCACCTTAGTGTGGATTGCTTCCTTTGTTGCCACTGGAGAGCTAATTGTGGGTGGCTGTCAGACTCACACCGTAGTTCCGTAACAGCCAATAGAAAAATATAATAATTTCATATGCCCATAGGCCAGAACAAGGAGTTTCATCCTATTGCTAAGATACCTTACAAGCCAATGCTTCGCATGGACTATCACACCCATGTACAAATCCCTCAGACTCATCACATGGCTTATGAGCAGAGGCTGAGGGATTTGGGCGTGTTTAGGCTGCAGAAGAGAAGAGATTTGATAGCAGCCTTCAACTTCCTGAAGGGAGGTTCCAAAGAGGATGGAGAGAGAGAGGCTGTTCTCAATAGTGATGGCAGGACAAGGAGCAATGGTTTCAATTGCAGTGGGTGAGGTCAAGGTTGGATATTAGGAAAAACTATTTCACCAGGAGGATGGGGAAGCACTGGGATGGGTTCCCTAGGGAAGGGTTGGAATCTCCATCTCTAGAGGTTTTTAAGTCTCGACTTGACAAAGCCCTGGCTGGGATGGTTTAGTTGGGTTGGTCCAGCTTTGGGTAGAGAGCTGGACTCCATGACGTCCTGAGGTCTCTTCCAGCCCTAAGAGTCTATGATTCAATGATGAATAATGGGGTTACAGGCTAGGACTATGAAGTACATCACTGCATTGCCCTAGCATCTAGGTATCCCAGTCATGGACCAGGAGTCTATGGTGCTAGGCCCTGAACAGAACAGAACAAAGCACGGAGAGATTGTCCCTCTCAGTGTTCCCTGTAAGCAGAGTGCTTGTGTGGCTGCTCAGGAGAGGTTCCAATGCCTCCAGCAGATTAGAAAAAGCCCCATAGGCAGGATTTTTGTTTCGACTGGTGGTGCACAATCGCACACCATGTATTGTAATCAGCGGTGGATATAGGGCAGGGTGAGCGGGGCAGGTGTCCCGAGCCCTGTGTTCAGACACCGCACGGTGCCCAAACGGCCGCTTGAGCTGCTTGCTCCCACGTGGCGACCCCGAAAGCCACACCAGAAGGTGAAGGGGGGGCGGGGTGATGATGTACACAGCCGGGGGCAGGAGTCGAAGGGTGTGACAAAAGCTTCAGGTCCCGCCCCCTAGCCGTGTACATCACTGCCCCGCCCCCCTTCGCCTCCCACCATGGCGCTCAGTTGAGTTCTGCACCACTCAGCTGGGACGGCGCGTGGGGCCCAAACGGCCATTTGGGCTCCGTGAGTGAGAGGCAGGAGGGGGAGGACTAAGGAGAAGAGAAAGAGAGAGTGAGGCAGGGGGGGAAGAAAGAGAGAGTGAGGCAGAA